AGTTCACAGACACGCACGAGCACCAAGGCCCCTCTGCCGCCTGCACCGCTGCCAGCGAATAGCTCACCTTGCCATTGAGCCCCACGTCAGCGTCGGCAGCGCTGACGGCTCCAACAAACACCGTGGGCACATTGTTCTCACGCACGTACATGGTGTACGACGTCTGGTTGAAGACGGGGGCGTTGTCATTGACATCCGAGATGTCCACGGTGAAGGTCTGCGTGCTCGTCAGAGGAGGCGACCCCGCGTCTGCCGCCGTCACCCTGAGGATGTAGCGAGCCGTCTCCTCGCGGTCCAGCGCGCTCACTGTCACCAGCTCATAGTAATTCTTATAGGCTGGCCGCAGCGAGAAGAAGAGCTGATCCTCGAGGCCACACGAGATCTTCCCGTTGGCCCCAGAATCCCGGTCCCTGACCGTAAACAGGGCAACCACCGTGCCGGGCGCTGTGTTCTCGGGGAGGGGACTGCTGAAGGAGCTGACCACCACCTCTGGGGCATTGTCATTCACATCCACCACCTCCACCAGCACTTTGCAGATGGCTGAGAGTCCCCCACCATCTGTGGCTCTCACACTCAACTCGTGTCTTTTTGCTTCCTCGAAGTCCAGAGGTTTTGTGATTTTAATTTCACCAGTTCTGTTATCAATCACAAATGCTGAATCGGTTTGTCCCACTGCTTGACTGAGTTGATAGGAAATGTCCCCATTTACTCCTGCATCCTGATCCGTTGCCAGCACCGCCAGAACAACAGAGCCTTCTGGCATATTCTCTAAAACCTTCCCAATATAACGCTCTTGTGTGAATATGGGAGGATTGTCATTTACATCCAGAATAATAATAGAGATCACAACGCTCCCACTTCTAGGAGGAGAGCCACCGTCCACAGCAATAACACTGAAACTCATCTCTGACTGCTCCTCTCTGTCTAGTGGCTTCTCCAAAACAAGTTCAAGGTATTTGTCTCCATTACTCCGATTTCCATAGGAGACACTGAAATATTCGTTCTCGGGAGAGATGATGTATGCCTGGACTGTGTTGCTGCCAATATCGAGATCCTGAGCATATTCGTTCTCGGGAGAGATGATGTATGCCTGGACTGTGTTGCTGCCAATATCGAGATCCTGAGCCGCCTCCAGAGGGAAACGTGTGCCCGAGTCGCTCCTCTCCAGAATCTTAAAAGTGAATCGTTCCACGGGGAAGACGGGTGAATGGTCATTGATATCCTCCAGAGCCACCTCGACCCGAAAGAACTGCAGGGGGTTGGAGAGCAGCAGCTCGAAGGGGAGCATGCAGGTGGCGGACTGGCCGCACAGCTCCTCCCG